ATATATAGCAGACTCATTGCACTTTGAACAATTAAATAAATACATAAGTGTCGGAGTTACAAGATTTTACTATCGTTTCGAGCATAGCACTTCAACGAAGAGTTTTAGGCTTATACCATAGTAGTATATATATTCATCAAACAGCATAGGACACATTATGAGGCTCATCTATAACGAATACACTGTCTGCACTTTTTTTTAAAGGAGAAATCACAGTTGGAAATGTACGGCAGACATTTCCCTATGGTAATACAATCGACACCATAGAAATGACTGGAGAACACCTTCTTCAGGCTCTTGAACATTCTATCTCAGGCCATGATGGCCAGACAAGAAGTAACGACTTTTTACAAGTGGCAGGTAACGCAAATAGAAGGATTTTGAATCATTTGTTCTTTTTCCTCAATAGCAAATGCAATGCACTCTGTATAGTAATATGCCTAGACACATAGCCTAACATTATCATAATAGTCGGAAAAAACGTAGCATTACACCTATATTTCGTTCAGATAACAACTACTCTTGGAAAATAGTCTTGTCAAATATTTTGCGGAGAGAGAGATAATCTGATTTTTTTTTTAGTGGTGCTCATTGGAAACAATTTGCCATCTGGTGACTTTTAAGGGTCTGGGCAATCTGTTGTATTTTCTTTCCGTTCAAATGTTCAAACTTTTGCTTTCTTTTGTTATTTGTATACTTTCCATTGTTTTACTGAATAAAGAAATGATAGTGAAATAAAATGTTAAATATATTTCAAATACAGGGCTGCGTGTTCTTTATGACGTCACTAGACCTGCTGGTGATCGCGTCACGGATGTTCAAGTACGTTGTTCTAGGTGCACAGAGCCAAGTTACGATAAGCTTAAGGAAACTACCGTGTACAGAATTGTTACAAACAGCTATATAGCTGGGGGTGGTAGTGGATACAGTATGGTGAGAGACAACAAGTTGAGTCAGACAAAAGGTATGATTAAACAAATTATTATAGTGATTATTGATAGTTAAATCATGGACCTATAATACTAATAGGTCCATTATTAAATAGCTTGTGTCAAACTGTGTATCACAAACTCAGCTCATTATTAACATTTTCTTTTCTTCTCACAAGGCCCTCTGGATATGGATATTATGATCAATTATATTCGTGCCAAATCACCATTGACCACTGCACTGGAGTCTAGGATAACTATTCTTTCCGACAGTGACTGCCCTCCATGCAATAGTGCTGTGACGTCATTCAATTTCCTAATGACCAGGGTCGTTTTATTAGGCCTATGGCTTTGTATATTAGACAAGAGTTTAATACAGTAGTATTAATTATTTAACGCAATAATGGCCTAAGTAAATTTTGATATGAATATGTATATAATTATTATGTGCATTTTATATATATATATATGCATATATACTGTATTACTGGATGCATGCATACAATATCATTATCCATTTCACTAGCTAGATGCTTGTTTGCTATTGCTTGTACATTGGGTGAAAGATGGAATGTCTAGGGAACGGTTAACACACCAGTACCAGTCGCAGTTGACAGATAAACTGTGGCCTACATAGTACAATATAAAATAAAGATTGCAGAGTAAAAATAAAAATATCTATAACGGAATAATTTTACACAAGTTAAACATTGTCAAGTTACACTTGTTTTATTTCTTGAAAACTATATAACACAATCCGAATAATACCATTAACTATACACTTTTGTTTTAAAGTCTAACAATGACTAAATGCTTGGTGGGTATATATTTCGTATTGCAAAGCAACATTGATCAGCTTAAGACATGGTACAAAATATACTTAGCAGTGAAATAACTGGACAAAAAATAATTGCACTGAATTAAAGCAGCTTCTACCATAATCGCGCGTGCGCAGTGCATGCGAATTCAACTTAACCGCAAGCAAGTGGAGTAGAATCCGCTTGTACTGACTTATTTAATATCAGTGTGAACAGATGTTTCTGGAGTGTCAATCACATTTAACACCTGGCCAATCAGAACAGGGCCAATCATACACGCTTTTCCCACAAATAGACATGTCCCACAAAAGCATGTCTACGTACGTGTTTACGCAGTCGTTTTGTGGAACCTTAAAGCCAAATCCAAGGAGTAGAAAACGGTCAATTTTGATTTATAAACTGGAAATTATGACGAGTTAAGATTTTAATGAGCTGTTTACACGGATAGCGAGCTGGTAGCTAATCTGAATTTGCTCATATACAGGTGATCAAATTCAAACTTATGGAAAATTGTGATTCTAAGTTTTATGCAGGCTTTAAGTAAGAACTTGCTTGAAGATCAGGTTGGCTTTTAAGAAATACCTCAATGGATTAGCTCTGTACACTACAAATTCAAGTAAAGAAAATCAACAAATGTATACAAAATTATGAAGTAATTATCACAAGTAATTAAAACCATGAAAACAAAACTGTTCTATACAGCTCGTAAATATCGTAAAATTATATTCAAAAATGAATTCATTAAAACACCAAGCATTTTTTGCAAGTATGATAAACAAAAAGTGAACCAAGCATAAAAAAGTACAGATTAAAGTAGTAAAGTTAGTGCTCAACAAATTTTATCAATGTTCTCAAAATTGTATGAAAAATTTATTGGATAATTCATATGGGAATGAGTTTCATAGCTTGGTGGTTGAGATGCTTGACTTTTGAATCCCAGAGTTCCTGTTTCAAATCCAATGAGATATCAGAATTAATTTTTTCATACCGCTAAGCCCCATGTACATACATTTCATAGTTTATACAGAATAACCCTGTTCTATAATGGACATTTCCGGAGTGTCAATCAAACTTAAATGACAAATCAGAACAGGGCCAGGAATACACGTGTATCCTACAGACAGTGGTGGCCCCAAAAATTTGCCGAGGGGTCTGCCGTGTCCAACGGAAGGGTCCGAACGAAAGTGCCGACGAAGCCTCGTTCGACGGCCTGGAATGAAAAAAATCATTTGATAGGGTTCATGGAGAGAGTTTTATGGCTTAGTATGGTCCAAAATGTGCTTTTAGACCACAATATTATAGATTGACAATCATAATAATGTTATTTGGATCGGAAAATTATATATTTTTTTAAAATTTTCGATCTGACAACCTAGTTGTTCATCGGACAACAGAGGGTCCAGGCCTGTCCGACGAACAACTAGGTCGTCAGATCGAAAATTTTTTTAAAAATATATAATTTGGTTATCCAAATAACACTATTTTGGATAATTCCCACCCTGAGCCCTGCCTACAGATACACGTGTTTGTGTATGCTTTTACCCTCTTTTACAATGTCCTTTGTGTGACCTTAGCAACAATATCCAAGGGGTGTGGCTTAGAGAAAAGGTCCATTGGTGGGTGTTGTTTTAAAATTTGACGATTTAAAGTGTATGTTTCGCATATTGATTGCAGTATAGTTTAAATTACTTTATGATAAACTCCACAGAAACTATTGTGGTAAACAGGCTTTATCCTAAATTGACAAACAATAGGTTATTGCAATTGTGATTCACTAAGACGATTTGTAAATATCTAAAAATATTCATTACAAGAAATAACATGAATATAAAAATAATCTAGCTCTACATTCTATGTTATGCAATGCACGGATGTAGTAACTACAGTGTTACAGTATATGCACAGGAACCAGGCTCTTGATACAAAATATATTACCAAGCATGAAATGAAAATTTTAAAGTTTCTCCCATCATCAACTGATGTATTTGTCGCACATAGAACAGAATGTAAGAGTGTACATGTGAAATATGAGCCTACGTCAGTAACATCTAATCAAAAATCAGAAACCTGAGGATGTTTCTATTTACTCATGACATTCATCTCAAGAAAATGTCACTCAGAGTGATAGGATTCTTTCCAAGTTAAATCAAATATGGTTTGCCCCATGCTGAAAGATACTTAAGGCCAATACAAGTAGGATCCCAGGCCTTTTTAAGGAAATATATTGTAGAGCATGTGACTTGAATCAGGTCACATGAGAAGCAGTTGCTGCAAAAATACCCTTTATTCAAATTGAACAAATATCTCATCACTAATAAATTTCAGTTTTGTTACTTTATTTTGTGGATCAAGGATGTTTTGCCCATGCATGAATGGCAATCAAGAAACTATAGGGGAACCTATTCCAAAAGCTAGTGTGAGGTGTTTCCTATTAGGTCCAGGGGACTATGACCCTGGAAGCTCTTCTGTACATAAGAGCTATGTAAATAATTTCATGCTAAGTTAGGAGTTCTTTAGCTGCACTCATTGGCAGCTGCTCTGTTTTTTTTTGCTTCTTCAACTATCTAACTTTCATTCAAGGTGTGTACTTTGGAAAAATAAAAAAATAATAATTTTGCTGTTTTATCGCAGTGGAATGGTATATACAGTACAGTACATTTAAACATATACAGGTATTCTTACAACACTATATTCCAAACCCCAAAGGAAAAAATTATATTGTAACAAAAGGAAGAAAATAGAAAGTAAATTTAGCAAAATTCATCTTAAAAATCACATTGAAAGAAAATCACGTACTAAGTACCTTCTTACACTAAAATTTCAGATCCTTTCTTATTGGATGATATGCATTTCTGGGAAGTGCTGGTACACACATTATGGTAGACCTGTTGGCAAAAAAACTGAATAATTATATCTGATCAAAAGTCCTGTACAGATTAATTTTATTTGACGAAAACATGTGAAATGCCGAAATACAGTCATGATGACATCACATCATGACCATATATGGGCACATCATGACTATATTGGGTTTCTGTCAAACAGAATTTGATAGTGTGGACAGGGGTTAAAGAGATGCTACACTTTATGAAGGTCGTAGAATTAATATCAAACTCTATATTTTAAAAATGTAACCATACAAATTCACCTACACATACACAGGGGACCACTCCTTCACACATAATGCACTGCAGTATCTCAGCCTATTAATACATGTATATAAATTCTTAAAGATACACTATCTGAGAAAAATTTTACAATTTTAATTTAAACATTGAATTGCTTATTTAAACAGATCAAATATTATTAACTCCCGTTTAGATGCAGATTAAAACAACGAACCTTTAAATTGTGTCAATCAAACATCAAGACGTGTCAATCAAACATCAAGACGGACCAATCACAACAGGGCATTATATGCTTGTCCACAAATATATGTTGTCCCACAACCACATTTTTAGATTTACGCTGCTGTGGGACCTTAGCAAAAACATTCATTCAGCTGGGCTTAGATGAACAGTTTATATAGTGTTTAAAGGCTTTTGAAAATCGTGTTGAATTACTAGCCAATTTAAAGGTTCTACACCACAGAACCTATGCAAAGAATATAGAAATAGCATTATACATTATGCATTAAATTGGCTAAAAGATCATTTTCTCATTAAAATTTTTAATTGAAAGTTAATATATTATAAATTAAGCAATTCAAATTAAAATTTTATTCTTAATTTTATTATATTATTAACAGAGAGTATATCTTTTATTTAAAAAAATGAATTGTAATTTAGTTGTCACTGTCACTATTACTGCCTTTACAGTTTTCACTACCATCTCTGCTTCTGCTTCGGCTATTGTTACGTGATCGGCTTGCGGAATGCGAACGACTACGACTTCTTCTTCGCCTGACAGGAGTTCGGCTTCTTGACTTACTTGCACTACGCCTATGTCTACGTTCTCTGTGGCGGTCCACACTCCTGCGCTGCCGGCTGCGACTTCGGTGCCTGCGACGTTCGCGGCTTCTACTGCGGCTTCTATAGTACTGCCTTTTATTCCGTTCGTAACCATCCCTGCAGAAAGCAATAAGATTTTACACGTTACAATAAATATGTTCTTATTATAATACTTCTTTGCCCTCTCACAGCATATACAAATAGATGTGTACTTTGCTTTTACAAACCATTCTTATCATAAATATCTTTAGTGCACACACATTTGTGAGTGTTCAGTCATATTGTAGTGTTTATTTCTCAATTCTTTAGCTTGTTCATAGGGTCCAGTATATACAATCAATTTACTCAAATATGGTTGTATGTGTGCAATTATGACGGTGCAGTACCATGCTTAGTTGTTTAATTGGAACACAAAGGAAACATTCCACTGTGCATTTCCATACAATACAATGTATGTATTCTTTAACATAGTGCATTATAACCTGTATTTCAAAGGGAGCGTGTTTCAAATTATAACCAGGGACACAAAGATCTCATTGGTTATTTTATGCTTCAGCGCACACACAGTCGTTACCATGGTTATAAACCCTTTCAAAGGGCCCACAGCAGACGAAAATGTAATTGTTAGGCTAATAAACAAAATTTTAAAACTTTTTCGTTATATTTCCTGGCAAACCAATTATTATAACAAGATCTGTTGTGGCTGCTTTAAATACTTCACCCACTGAAAATGCACTGACTTCTTTAAATTAATCTAGGTCTATCCATAAAACACTATTCCACATGCTCAAGCAGTCTACCAAATTTCAACTATACCATAAATAAACTAGTTAAATCAGGAAATAACTGGCTTTCTTTTTAAACCTTGATTTCCTGATACATCAATCAGGCTGGATAACTGCATGATATCAAATAGTATTCAATTTCCTGGTAAAACATTAAGGAGGAACAGAGAAAACTAAATTACTGGTTTAAAACTTAGGAATGCCCAGGAACAATTAACCCAATAATCTTTTTTTTCTTTCTAATTTTAGCAAAGAGACATATTAAACTGGATTTTAGACCTGTAGTTTGCCATTACCAACCAAAATGCGTGAGGAGAATGATTTGGCCTAGGGTTTTCTGGACTAATCTATAGTACAATAATAATTTTATGTAATATGACATGAGAAATGTAGCATACCTCTGCCTGTCTCGATAATCTGTAAAAAAAAAAATTGTTTTGACAAATTAACACTTTAAATAAAAGTTACATTTATGCATAGAAAACAAATTACTACAGTACTTTCTTTACTCCATATTGTAATACTTAAAATAAAAATTGAAGTATAAATTATATTACCGCGAGCCCGTGGATCACGGCAGTCCCTGGCAAAATGACCAAAACGGCCGCATTTGTAGCATTCATCATCTGCCTACAATAGTAATAGAATAATAACATTTTATAAAACATAATATTAATGTAAATGATACAGTACAACATAGGTCAGTGAGTACAGGTCACACTCCAATTGATGACCATTTCAATTACTGTAAAGACCATTCTGTGGCCCCAAATTAACAAATGTCTTCTATCTTTATTATTATAATACCAGAGCTGCTAAAAAACCATGGAAACCCCGGTCCCAAGCGTGGTCTTTAATTGGAGGGAGGCCTGCATATAACTAGTGAAGAGAATATGAACAAATCAACTCTTCCTTAGTTAGGCTAAATAAGGTTATATTATAATAAGTGATGCATTGTGGTGTTGATATCTTCCTGATTCTGGACAATACAGTAGTAGACCCGAGGCACTAGGCAAAGGCAGAAGCTACTGTTACATCACACTGTACTTGCCACTGGGTATCTGCATACAGTATATCCACCTGTGAAATCGATGCTGTCCCGACATTGGTTGGTATAACACAATTAATGTTTTATTATTTTTATCTAAATACAAATATTTACTTGCTTTCTCTTTTTTTCCCCCCTGGATTAGAGCTTTGTATCCACTGCAAAAGGCGCGGTAAATAATACATAGATATTACCTTACGACAGGAGACAACCTGTCGTGACCTTAATCTTCATATTGTGTGAAGCAGGTACAGTAGACTAAGTGAATAACCAAGTCTCATAATGTACATTGCTCAAAATATATGTTTGGGACAAAATTGTTTTAATTTTATAAGCCATGAATTTGCTTCAACACAAGTTCACACATAACAATACAAATAATATATTAATTCACTTCAGTATGTTGTCATAGTTACAAGCAACACAAAGCATTTCCTTCCAATCAATTAAGCATGAAATGAAATTTATATGTAAATTGTTCTAATTTATGTCAATGTACTTCTCTGGCTCATTTATTCACAATAATATTCATAAATAATTGCTTAAAAACTCATAAGTATGCACTTAATTGAAGGAAATATTTATTTGTAATATTCAATGTCATGGCTGTCTGCAGAATTAACCATGTGTAACTGTGAACAAAACAAAAGATCATGCTTATTTTATTGGGTGCCATATTGTAGTTTCTCGAGTATAATCTCGCACATTTGAACACGAAATTTGGTGGAATTTAGGGTAGGAGCTCATATCTGAACCAGTACAAACCAAAGTACTGTAAGCCTAGCGGCATAGCTAGGCCAAATACTGAAGGTCCCCTCTGGTCAACCAAACTACTATAAAAAATGATGTGGAAATTCACCATTCACATGTAAGAATATTTTAGCTCTAAGGAACTCCATCACAAAAGCTTTTCACTAGTGAGCAAAACACACCTGGAACTCTAGGATTCCTATGACCGCCACATCCTTTCACTCACCAGCTCCTAAGGAATCCTATACAGATGGAGACAATTAGAGCTGCTAAAATCTTAAACTTGGAGTATGCATCTTCAAATTAAGTGATATTACTGTATATAGTCATTAAACCATGGAACTCAAGGTTTGAGGTCTTTGGTTCAAATCCTTATAAATCCCTTAATTATAAAAAAACATACGTCTAGACTTACATAACCTCGCTTAGGGCCGTATGCAAATTCAACAACAATTCGTTGTCCAGCAATTTCGCGCCCATTCTCGTACTTCACAGCATCCTGAAAAAGAAGTAATGAAAATTCATGAGTTATGCTAATATATGTTAGCATCTATTTCAAAAGCTTTTGGAACATGGCCTACCCAACGTGTCGATACTGTATATTCAGCATTCATAAGTAACAGTGTTTGTGTGTGAATTGTAAAGTGTCATAATATAACTTGGTTTAAGAAATATAGAATAAAAGAAAAATATTTATATGATTCAGTTAGATATTTTGTTGCAGGTTAGCATTATAAAGCGATGAACATGATGTAGATAAACAGTATATTTAATGAGTCATTCATAATTGTAGCATGTTACGTATTATCATTATGAATTTCAGTAGACAAATTCAAACACAGACCCAAGAAATCCAGCTGTCACTAAATTCATACTGTATAAACACAAGATAAAATGTTACACGAACAATACACTAAAACAATTTAGCAACCATCTCTTTTTATCTATTGTGGCCATTTGAAGGTGTATCTGTGTAACATTAGCTTGTGTTCATGTATGAAAAACAGATCCTAGGAAGCTTTCGATTTGCACTAGAACGAATTTACTCATGCATGACCATCCTACAGTATGTTCTCTACACAACATAGATTTGGTCAAACGGCATCCTAGAATCTATGTGACGAGGAGAACTTGCATGCGCAGATGACTTCTTAGTGATGTCTTTACGTTGTACATCCTACCGCATCGTGCAAGCGAAAGCTCCCTAATGTATCGCAAAGGCCTTAAGAAGATTCCCAAAAAAAGCATACATCTATGCACATGCTCACTATCTGTGTATCAATCATACAGTTAATTTCAGTTGGAATACCTGGGAAAGTCTGTATAACGTTTAGCATGCATCCTGTGTAACATTTCAATTGGGTATTAAAGGGGTAGTGAAGTTATATTACCTTGCTTTCGGCTTTTCACATTTATCAACATTATTACAAGTATGCAAAGATTACAGTATTTATTTTTCACTATTCCCCTCTGAATATGTACATTTTCAATATTTATTAGCTAGGTTGTGAACTGAACAGTTGCACACATCATAAGGCAATTCTGAAAATTTGGTGTGGAGTTGAATAGCTTAGTGGTAAGATGCTTGCCTTCAAATCCCAGAGTTCTGGACTCAATTCTTGTGACAGCAGGACCTTTTCTCACGACTAAAAACAACTCCACTCTTTAAGTCTCATTTAACAGAATTTGCCCATAAAAGCATCTCGTTATTTATAATATTCAAGAGGGCCCCTGAATATCAGCAGACATTTTGGGATATGCTGGAAGGGTCACCCCCTATAAATATGGTTTAAAATTATTTAATAAAATGAATATACTCTTATTTTGCAAACTCATACTTCCTCCTTCGTAATATTTGCAAGCTTGTGAAAATGTTGATATTTGAATGCCCCCCTCTCCCCACTCACGAACAACTACTGTATTTCCTATGGCTATGGCTACTAATAGTCAGGGGTGGTGCCAGGATTTGCTCGACTGGGGTCCGATGTCCGATAAAAACGTAAGTGGGCGTGATCGGGCGTCGCTTAAAATCTCATGAAAGTGATCCATGGGGTGATGCCCCTGGAAACTATGACAATTTAGAGGCATCAAAGGCTTACTTAATCGCTTTTTGAGTCCCCAACCCCCACTGGCGCCTCCCCTGCTACTAATATCAGATAAATTTTATGAATACTATATAGTATGTCTCAGTATCTCTCTCTGCTAATAGAAATAATCATGCCGAGGGACAGATCAAGGGAGAGGAATGAGGCTAAATGGCCAAAAAAGGAAACATAATCTGCTCGGACTATTTCAAAACCTTTTTACACCTCAAAAATACATCCCATTCCTACGCCCTCATACAGTATGCAGTCTTGTGTATAGTACTGAAAATAGGCGGATCCTACAACATCCATCAATATTTAAAGGTTAAAGGTTATATCTCTTCATCAACTTCAAGGTAAGTACATAAACCTTATCAATTACCAAGAAATTTCTACCAGATTTACGCATGCAATTATTTAATATTAAATTTGTTTTTCACAACAATAATTTGAATTTTATAATTTAAATTCTGTCCTTTTTATCAATAAAAAAAAAATTCATCTAGCATTCCACATACTTGATATGGCTGATGTTATAAAAATAAATAAATTAATGTTTCTTTAGGATGCACTCAAGTCTTGTACACAACTCCTTAGGTATAGATCTCCACATGACAGGGTATCAATTCAGTATGGGCGGATAAAACTGCACGTCATTTGGTAGAGGTAGCGAGAGTGTCATGGTAGCCTGGGTCAGGTGATGTGTCGTTGAGGGTATGTTCACTTAGATGAAGGGGCTCGTTACTCCGATTAGAGAGGACGAACTCGCTTCTTAGTATACTTTCTTTGGGGTGGGGCTACTCTGCAGGGTTTTCTCTCTCTTTCTTGTCTTTTTTGATTTTCTCTCGTCTTTTCTGCACAAATCAAAACCATGACATATTAAGTATTTTAATACTGCTCATGGATACAACAATTAAACGATTGATGTTTTGGCAAAATGGCTAAATATGATACTTCACATTCAATGCTACTGCATTTACAAAACTAACATAACAATGTTTTCTTGAATAAATTTTTATTAAAATGAAGATCAATGTATAAACCTACAATTTTAAATGTTTTTATAAAAGGCTCACTATAAATTAAATAAAATATTTAAAAAAATTCTTTAAATGCGACGTCGATGAAAGGAAAAATGATATTTGTACAAAAATAAACTAAAAAGACATTGAACAACACCATGAATACAGTGATAGTGGATGAGAATTGTTTTCTTTTTTGATGAAAATTATTTTTAAGAAAAGGAAACTACGCCTGCAAAGACTCATGCATACAAGGACTTATAACCTGAGTCCACATTGAGGGCTGGAAAAATTGGGTGACCGCACAACCAGCGGTCAGAGGCATTGCACAGTAGCCCTCTAGTCTTGATTCCCCTATTGCGGTACAGTAGGTGGGTTTTATGGACATGTTGCATGGACTAGTGTATACTTTCAATACCGTATAATACTAACCACGGTTTATGAACATTAGTTAAATCTGAGACTCAACAAAAATAACAGTTCATTCCAGAACTATCTACAGTTTGTGGTGAACAGCAAGCATTTATTATTATTATTATTATTATTATTATAATTAAATCTGAACGTTGCTGGAATTCAATCAAAATGCTTAGCATAGAACAGGTGACAAAATTGATAAACATGTGTGTAAATATAATATGATGTATAAAACATAATTAATTAGTACATCAAAACAATCAATTATTATGGTAATTAGGTAGGCCTACTATTGGTATTGTATTATTAAAACTAGTTAACTAGTAGTATTATATCATACTGATAGTGGTTTTCATTACCTTGTAAAATGTACAGTAATCATCACAAGGTTAAAAATAGTTGTGTAAATAAACATTACATACAGACAGTATGAGTGATTAATGGTGGTGTATGTACAGCTGATCATAAAATGCCATTCCCATGTGTTTACACATTTATTTTTGGTCAGTCTGTATCCATTATTTTTAATGCACGATAAATGTAAACATCCTGTGCTCTGCATTCTGTGATGAGGCTTAAAGCTCTGTCCACACTATCAAATTTTATGAGACAAATCAATGTGTGAATAAGCTCATATTTGGATGTAATATGACATCATTATGCCCATATATGGGCACATCACACAAATTTAAATTCGATAGTGTGGTTAGACCTTTATGGGAGTGGCACACACAGGAGTTTGAAAACTGGGGTCATAAATGTGTGTGTCTATTGTTTTAATATCTATTACAAGCAAATTAATTTGTAAATTTTGACAGTCAAAGTAGGGGAAGGAGATCATGGCCCTCTGTCACCACTAGCTTGGTTTGCCACTAACCTAATTCATCCAATCTGTACACTCAAATATCATTCAGTATGATATGGACACATGGAAATGCCACTCTAACTACAGTAATAGCATATATCAAATTGTTCAAACAAACAATATAACATGCCAGTGAATGGATTAGAGAAAGTAAAAAATGACAAAACACTGACATGATACAAGGAAAATTTCTTACCTCAGCATCTCGTCTGTCTTCATAGTCAATGAACGCATAAGCTATAGAAAAAAAAACAACAAAAATATGATCAAAATCACATGGAATTTATTCTCTAACTCTGTCATAACAATAAAAAATAGTGTAAGTTACCTTTCAGAGTTATAGTTATGACGAGATGTCATCGAAGGCTTCCAGAAACTAAACCATAACTCTGAAAGGTAACTTACACTCTTTTTTTTCAAATATGATCAATACTTAAATTTTTGATTTATTACTATTAATTGACGAATTTACAGTATATATTCATTAAACTAGAAATTGCAAATTGCAAGTGAAGTGCTGCGAAGTACAACTGCATATAAATGTTCTTCGAACAAAATTAATAATAAAAATATAACAAATAATATGAGACACGACCTATTGTCTATATTATAACACTTTTCATTGGGTAACAAAGTCGTAATTTTTCATTTTTGTCAAAAAGTGTCTATAGTGGTGAATTATGGTTTAGGTTTTTTTTAATAAAGTTTCAAAAATTTCTATGAGGCCTGTGTGGAAAATGTAGTTGATTACCAAAGGTTACAATTTTTATTTTGAAGACTGCATGGTCTAGGAAGTGTACATTTTTTTATGGGGCAAGTTTCCAAGGGCGGGTTTTCTAGGGGCGAGTTGACTGCCAAAGAGTGTTGCCAAAGTGCGAGCCAGCGTGTTATTTGATCACAAGTGCGAGACATAGCAAGTG